ATCTGGAGTTAAGCAATTGGGCATATATTTGGAGGGGTTAACATTCAACCCATTACATAATATATTATCCTATAAGTTTGAACTACTTTTTCACACTCTCTATCTTTGGCCCTTTTTTCTCTCAAAAACAAAAACAAAAAAGCAGTTCAAAGAAGTTATCTTTTATTCAATCATTCACTCACTTGTCCATTTCTCTATTTAATCATTCAACATGTAGTGAATTTCATTTATGAGTCAAGTTCTCTACTCAGTCTTACCTAGCATGCTATTTAGTAATGTCTGTTAAATAAACAAATGAATGCACTTAAAAGTTTTGAAGTTCATAAAATGTATATTCATGTATTTATACATAAGCATTTACATATGGGATTAAAAAAGTCATGTCAAAATTCCATTATCTTTAAATTTGATTTTTACATGAAACTCTTTCACCCCCTCACCCCTATTATATATACATCTAGGTAAACATGTGAAATTTCACATTACAAAAAGGTTGGTACCAGTAAATCAGTATGCCTCATTTATGTTTAGAATTTGCAAAATGCTCCCTATAGTAAAACATGATAAATGATATGTAAGTTCCTAGTATAGCTTAAAAGGTTGACTTAAACCAGCAAAAAAGTTGTACTATGATTCTGCCATGAAAACTTTGAAAAGTAAAATTAATGAAAATTCACAATATTTCGTAATACTATAATTAATAATCCCCCACAGAGACAGTCCACTCCAATTGCAGACAGGCGCTATTTACAAAGATACCTTTGCTTATTCTCTTGTCTACCTTAGCAGGAAACGACCACAACCTCCAGGACTTTCAGTAAACACACTTACTCTTCTCTACTCTTGCTCCCACACATAGCATACTGACATGTTATACAGGGAGAACATGGGTGTGAGGTGGCACCTTTTCAGCGAATGTGTAAATATGGATGTGAGATCTGCCATTGAGTTTCAGTTCAAGTGAGATCAAGTGCATGTTTCATATACTGTGTGCCTTTCATGGTGAATGGAACAGTGGAATTTGGTAGAATAATTGTAATGATTTTTTAAAATTTCAATGTTAATTGGGGTCTCAGAAAACATTGATATATATGAAGAAGCTTCAAAATGTCCATGTACAAAATAGAATTAAAAGATAATGGAATTTTTCTATGAATGATTTGAAATCCTTTGTTCCATTTCAGGTATACATGTTAATTTTCCTTTCTTTGGAATTCATTTCCTTTTCTCTTCTTCAATACTATTTTAGATTGTATATGCTTTTTTGAAACACGAGGCTGACCAGAATATTGACAAGTGCAAGGTGGCAACAAACTAATGCCTGGGGTTATTTCCTCTCCCTTGGCTGGGCGTCCTAAAAGAGCCTATTCTTCTCTGTCGCCATCAGAATCCACTTACTGTACCCCAGGGATCTGGAATGGGAGCATGAAGCTTAGTAGCACCTCTGGTCTCAGCTTGCTTTCTAGTTGAAAGAATAGGCTTTACATCACACAAACTGAAAATGAAGATCCTGTAGAGGCAGCTTGGACTAAACTAACTTGAAGTTAAAAAACTAGAAAGTGAATAAGGCCAATAAAAGAGAAAAGGTTAAAGAAAGGGGTATTATTATATACCTTAGTTAACATATGGATCATTTTTGTTTTTGACAAATAGTGAATGAAAGTAAGTCATTACATTTATATCAATATGTGGGGAGAAAAAACATTGACAGATTCTTAGTGCTTTGGGGTCAATAATATGTAAAAATACATAAAGTCATCCCATGGAGTAATCAGATAGGTTTTATTTCATATATATACGTATATATATAAAAGTTTTAGCTCCTTTATATTTCATGTATATACTAAGTTTAAGCTCCTTTATATATATATGAAATAAAAGGAAAATATATAAGATATATTTTTATTGTAGTATATATCACATTTTCTAACTTGGTTTTTCATGTGTACAATTCAGTTAAATCAATTATATAAATAATTTCATGCAACCAACACCAGTTATAAATATCTTCAGGGACAGCAACCGACAGTTAGATCACCATGTAAGACTACCTTCTCTGGGGTTCTTTGCATTTGTTTTAGGAGTTTACTTTAAAAATGAAAATAAGAAAGCCTTCATTGAACTGAAGTGAAACTCTTAAAAATGTACTGTATACCCAAGAGGTGAAGAGGAAGGAGTGAACATCTTCATAATCTTTAGCAAGTCAGTTCTATTTTAGCTGCCTAATACTATTGCAGAAGAAGAGTGTCTCAGGCAATAAATAGCTACAGTCTCCTCTTATAAGCAGGAACTTATAACTAAAATGTAGCTTACTCGTGGATGTGTTTTAATTAAGTCTGAAACGTTTTAATACACATCTATAAAATTTGTTCTTGGATAATATATAATGTCTAACTCTTTCATAAGCCTCCCAATTATTACAACTAATTTTAAGTAGAATAAATGAATAATGACTAGTATTTACTTTTATTGTAGCCCTAAACTCTAGCTCAAAATGACATAATTTGGGGGGGGGCTTATAGATGATAAAAAATACTTTAAAAAGTAACTAATACTAAATATACAAGGTACATTTAAGGGGTGATGATAATAAAACTGTTGATACTTCTTCCTAAATTTATTAAAATGTAGATATAACAGCTTTATTGCTTTATATTAAGACACTTGTAGATCTGCGAAAAGTCACGGGCAGAATGCTGATTGACTATACATTAAGAATGAATGAATACAGTCATATAAATGGAATAAGGAAAAGAAAGGAAAAAAAACACTATTGTTTCTAAATATCCAGTTCAGGAACCTGTGTTCAGGAATTATATATGTGTAGAAGAAGAAAAAGGTTACCTATATTAATACTTGAAAATTGATCTAAATAAAGTTAACTACCACCAGTATCCATTGCTTTATTATTGAAGCAATATTTGCCTTGGAAATAAAGGAGTAAATGTTCTAATATGAGTAATCAGGAGGCTCAGACTACACTGCATGCATTTTTACAAAGCGTTCATTTTTATATGTACATGAGCCATGGTGGTGCTTTACTTAAGCTGTACCCCAAAGGTGGCTGCTTGATCACACTGTGTGCCAAGGAAAGCGGTGGCATCCAGCTCCCATGACGTTGACAGCCTTCAGCAAATAGTCATGATAAGTCTGCATCGACTCAGAGGCACACAACATCAGCAATACTGTGGTCTTAGGATTCATAACAATAAACACATAAAAAGGAACATATTTTAACTCTTACCTGTCACAAGAAAGCTGCATCTTCCGGCTCCAGCTTCGTTTATGATGCTACAATTATAAATCCCATAGTTTTCATTGGAAAGACTCTTCACAGGGTACTCTGTGTATTCCTGAGAGTCAAACTGACCGGTCCGTAATAATTTACTGCCCAGACGCCACTCATACGTCAGGACTCGGATAGGATATGCTCTCAGTACTCGGCAATTCATTGTGATGCTTCGGTCCTGCCCTTGCCGGATTTCTAAGAATGCTGGTTCCACAGCAGGAGGATCTGTAGAAAAAGGATATTAAAATAGATAAGGAATGTGGTCTGCAAATAAACAATGGCCATTATCTCTGCACCAAGTTATTTTTAAGAACACATCCATCTACTGGGAAGAAGTTTAAGGGATAGGTGGAGGAGAATGTATAACATCTAAAACTTGCATCATTTTCTGTGTAGGAAGTGAATGAGAGTGTTTGTTTAAAATAGAATTTACAGGAGAAAATCGCAGGCATTTTTTTCTAACTTCTTCCTAGAAAAAGAAATCTGGACAATTTGTTCTATAATGTCAGCAGCCCCACGATGCTCAGGAAATTAAATGCAGAGTAATGGTGGGGTCTCCACCATAAGATTTCATGGCAGAGAATGAAGTTGGGTCAAATCAATGAATGCTGATTGTTTCCATCTTAGGTTCTTATGTAGACACAAACTTATACATTTATCTTCTAAATTATGTGTCTGAAATTTCTAATATTAATGTATAAGGTGTATGCAAATGTTGCAATACAGCACAGGTGGTGTTTTAAAAACACTAAAATGGAATGTTTATCTGATATCATTGTAATAGTTTTGTTGTTATAATTATCAGTCATGATCTCATCCTTGCAAACATGTGTGTATAGCACCTTTTGAGTTATGCAATTACTACTCTAAGTATTGGTCCCTCCTGAAAGATTCTGAAAAATAATTGAGGACTACTACACTTTGAGTATTTACTCTATAAATCTAAGAATAGAAACAAAAAACATAATTTGAAAATCCTATCTGCATATAATTTATGGTCTAAAATAGAAGGCAGGCATGTAAATAGCTAACTTATAAATTATGAAAAATATATCCAGAATAGCAAATAATATTTATAAGCATTGATCAGGTAAGTTATCCCATGAAAGGGAATACTGGAGTTAGGTCCTTCAACATATAGGGAAAGGTCAAAGGAGTCATCTACGAAGAGAAGGCATTCCACATAAAGGATTAGGACGTGTAGGGCCAGAGGAGCTAGAGAAAAGGCAGTGCTCAGATCAACAGAAATTAGTATACAGGGTCATGTGCAGTTGAAAGGAACTAAAGATAGGATAAAGGAAAGAAATCCCATTCAAAGTTCTTGCATGTCATGTTATGGAGTTTGGATGATTTTATCTTGTTGGTATTAGGGGCTCTTTAAAAAAAACCCAGCCTGAAGACATCTGTCATTTAGAAAGAAAATTGTGGTAGGGAAAAGGAACATAAGAGAGAGAAGGAAGATACTGATTGCGGAGAAAGTGGTACCTTCATTGGTGAAGCAATGCCAGTGGGACCACAAAGATGTCTTAAGCAATGGAAGAGATACTCTTGTCAATGACCAAGAGGGAGAAGAAAAAGAGGTGCAATGGGTGTAGAGGGGGCATGTTGAGTTTCTGCACCCGGGAGTTCACAGTATAAATGAATACCTTGGACACAAGTTACATAGCACTTACATGTTCTATTTCTACATCCTTTTACTCTGATATATTTATATTTTATATACAACTTTCTAATAGTATCTGGTTATATTCTAATTTTTACAGTCTGCTTATGTTTCTTTTACTTAGGGCACTTAACATTTATAATTAATGTAACTACTGATATACTTAGTAAAAATAAATACTTGCTTATTCTTTGCTTTCTAGTATACTTTTTCTTCTTGATAACTTTCTTTTAGAATTGGCTAACTTTACTATTACAACTATTTTCCTGCTATAACTTTGCTATGCAAAGTTAATTATTCTGTTTGTTATATTTTAATAATTTTTCAAAAGTTTGCAATATGCATAAATTAAAAAAAACTGTCAATACTTCCATCATCCTTCTAGATTACACAAAAATCTTTGCAAACTCTTCCTAATTCACTCCCAACTTGACATACATTACTGAGTTATGAATTCAAACTCTTGCTTTTCTGTTCTCTTTTATTTGTTAACTTATTGACATTATTTTTGTTTTATGCTAGCATTATTTTCTAGATTTACTCAGCCATATGATAGCTTGCTATTGATTCTGTCTTCATTAGAGTCATTCTGTGATTTCTTTTGTTTAAAGCAAATAGCTTAGAATTCATTAGTAAAATTATCTGATCTCAAAATATACTTTTAAATCTTATGCTCAAAAGGTATTTTTTTCTTGGGTATCAAATTATCAGTTTACAAATATTTTTGAAGCCCATCAATACAAGAGTTCACTGATTTGAAACTGCCACTGTGGCTGTGGATAGGTCATCAATAACCCCTATATTCTGAAGTGAATGTATTCCACTCCCTACCCCCACACTCCATGAAACACCATTTTTACTAGCTCCGAGTCTTTGAATATGTCTAGGTATTGATTTTTGTTTAAAAATATACATTTGAGAGTTGGGCTCCTTAAATCTATTAAGCTAAAATAGATATAATTTATTTGAGGCAGTTTTTGAAAAGTCTTAGCCAGTGCCTCTTCAAAAAAAAATGTTTCTGTTGTCTTCTTTGTATCTTCACTTCATGATCCTGTCAGTTCAGTTTCTCCAGTTCTGTTACTCTTCTTAACTCATTAGTTCCAATGATACGTTCTTATATATAAAGGCTTAGCTCTTTTGTAAACTTGATGTTACTTTGTTAATACATTCCTATCACCTATAGATGTAGGTGCATGTTCATCACTATACATCACACTGGTATATTCTTTCTTTTGAAAAATAATGATTTTATAATGTTTGATCATGACAATCGAGGTTTTGAGGGTATTTTTGGTTGGTTCTTTTCAACCACTAGGCATGAAGTAGTTTGCCCAATTGTAAGACTACTAAAACACATAACTTTGTCCTTCAAAACCCAACCGTTTGAAATTGTAAATGGAGAACATGAATGATGAAGGAAGAGGACAAAAGGTCTAGGAAATGAAATGGGGCTCAATTTAAGCAACATTCACAAGATACTCATGGAAGTAAATTCAAAGGGAAACCAGCGGGAAAGCCAGCCAGTGCACTGGATGCATAGGACCGGAACACGTTAAACAAGTGCACGGAGTGAAATAATACGCAGAAAGTTTCATTTAACAAATAGGGAATCTTTTTAGAGTTCAATATTTCAGCAGTAAAGAAATCTGCAGTGCTTATAGCCCCTGGAATGAAATGCTGAAGAAGAAAGAAGATTAATGGTGCCGGAGGCTGGAAGGAAGTGCCCATATATAACCAGACTCTTTAGACTTTCCGCAAAAGTCAGAGTGCGTATGTAGCAAATGAAAGTCTGCAAACTCCTCCTATAAATCATATTCTCAACTCTAGTTTGTTTTCTTAGTGATGTCTATTGGCAGTTCAGATACATCAATCATTTGCTTATTGTATATTTGGTACTTGACATTTGAAAAAATAAATGGTGTATTATAAATGAATATCATTTTACCTGTTGGGCTGTGATCCACAAGGTCAGCAGTTTGAAACCACCAGGCACTCTATGGGGGACAGACAGGGCTTTCTACTCCCGTAAAATCATGACAGCCTTGGAAACTCACAGGGTCAATTCAGCCCTGTCCTACAAGGCACCCTGAGTCGGCATCAACTCAAGACAGTGAGTTGTTGTTTTTAATTAAAGCAAACACAATTTTAACATCAAATTACATATGTATTTGTCTACCAAGTATAAAAGTGTTTGCAACTGTTTCACTTACTATTAATTTCATTTTATACTCAAAAAGTTGCAAATGAAATTGATTTTCCCTGACAGGGATATAGCGTAAAATATGTTTATTTTGTTATGAATTATTTTCTGAGAGAATATTTGGATATATTCTGAACTGATGGATTACTTAACCCTTTCACAACTTGTGTCTACTTACATTTTTCACCACTGGGATTTGGTGGGAAGCTTTTATCCCACTTTTCATACTTGTTGTCTTCTGGTGAGGACCTTTATAACCGCCTGAATCCAAAGAGCAGGCCTCCCCCCAACAACTCCCTGACCAGAGAGTCTTCAGGATATATGTGTCTCATATATAACGGAATCAAGGATAACAGAATCCATATTTCCTCAAAATGGTTTTCAATGAAGTCAAAATGCATTCCATTGTTGAACACACACAGTTTCAACAAAACTTCAAACAGAAAATAATTCAGCTTTGAAAGGCTTGAAATTGTGTGGGTTTTAAGCCCTCTCTCCATAAGAATGACATTCTTCTAAGCCTAGAAGATTCAGCCCAGTCAATTACTAGTGGTCTATAAAGACATCCAAAAATGTTAGAAGTCTTCAAACAGTCTGTGTTCAGTAGGTTTAATAGAGTCTGAGCTGGACAGCAACTCTAAACTACTTCCATTAAAATGCTGTGCAGATGAATTGAATTCTAGGGCGGTTCTTCATCCACAGAAAGCTAGGGAATGTGAAAGTGAGTTCACTCATTATGGCCCAAACCAAGTCGGTCTATGGAAACATTCTGCTAAGATACAGTGTTCACTTTAAGCATAGTGGCTATTAATGAGCTCTACACTCATCTATAGAATACTCCGTGAGAAGGCAAGACCTTTGCTATTATGATTAATGGTGAAGTTTTCAGACTTTGAATGTGATGAAAGTTTTAAGCTAAAAAGAGAGTTCACTATTATGATTGAATCCATTTTTCATGCTATTAGGTTTATTCAGTATATTTTATTATAAAATTTAGAAGATTAAGAAAGTGAAATAAATGAGAATACTGTGAGAAAAAACCCTCACTGGTGACATGCTTAAAAATCGGATAGCTTAAGTGAAAGCTATCCATTTTGTTCAATTTAACAAAATGATTCTAAAAAGATACCACTATATTTTATCAATTTTATTCATCATTAAAGAAGTTTGGTTCAAAATATTTGTCAAATGATCTTCCTACATATATACTGGAGTCATGATAATAATAATAATAAGACTATATACTGATACTAGCTATTTACTCCCTGCTGAGCACTCTACCACCCATCTTCTTAGGAGAAACACTGATGAAGCTCACTGACTAGCCTTCAGTATGAATTACACCTCAGCATAAAATTAAAC